GAAACTACAATATAACGTGAAAACAAAATCTGCTTTTGACAATCAGTTTTCTTAAAAAGAAAACAAATTTTACGAAAATTACCTTCACGTTCCTACATACATATGTAATAAACTTATATAAGCATGGTTTTTATCGCAAACCAATTTTGATAAGAACGTCAATAACCGAATATACTGTAGCTGATAAATACAGTTTTATATCTAATAATTTGGTAAAAGAATGATGGCAATTTTTTGAAGTGCCATTCTCACAGGGCACAGCTGATAAAGGAAATTTTCAATGAACTTCGAGGTGAAACATTTTCATTTTTAACCTCGTGCATAACGATCCTCCCGACGACTGGGGCAATTGCTTATTTGTTACTTTTTAAATATTTTTAAATGCAGCAGCCGCGGCGATATAAAAGGGAAAAGAAGACGAAGCTTAGCACACAGACACTTCTATTTTTGTCTGGACAAAAGTGTGGTTGCAGTTAGCACCTATACCTTATTAAAATCAAAAAAAGATGTAGCTACATACGAGATCTGGTCAAATATAAAACGGAATTGGCGGCGTAACGATCCATTTTAGGGAACGGAGTGGAGATGGTTAAATATTATGTAGAAATAAATATTCGGTCTAATACATCAGAGCCGGGCAAACTTTAACTTCGCAGGAGCCGCTACACGAGATTAGTTTGAGTCACTCCATACCCGTCAATGAGTACGAGAGAGAAAGCAGTAATGAATAATTTTGTTTGGTCTTTTTCTTCTCCCTTCCACTCCCATATCAAGCCCCTTCATCCCGTAGACGAGCGAAGCCACTCTCCCAACTCAAATAATACCTACGAAAATTTTCGTTACTACGTTCGCAAAACTATTGGATTTGGCTATGGAAGAGGGGACTCGTCTACGAAATGGAAGGGATAAGAAAAGGAAAGAATCATCTCACTCGCACTCGCAGGATCAATGAGGAGCTACTTGGTTAACCTTGAGGATCACTCGGGATGCAAAAGATCCGAGTTTGCCCGCCTCTGTAGTACATGTCCCCCGCTCACCATTCATACACCCCCCCCCCCACATTCTAACCATGTTCTAATTTGGGTCCACATTTACTTTATCTTTGCTTTTTTAATGGATTGGAGATAAAAATGTTCAATCTCTCAGAGTCTCTGAAAGCGACACTCGAGTCTCCGTCTCTCATCGAGTCTCTTTGGTGTCGCTGAGAAAGACTGTGGAGAGACTATCAAAACTGTTTAGCGTCTCTGAACGAGAGACTCGAGTCGCTCATAGAAAGATCCTCATTTCGTATCCAGTCTCTGAACGAGAGACTCGAGTCGCTCATAGAAAGATCCTCATTTCGTATCCAGTCTCTGAACGAGAGACTCGAATCTCTCAACGAGAGACTCAAATCTGTCAATAAGTGGTGTCTCGATAGATATGGTTAAAATTTTCAAGTTCAACATATTCCAGAGATCCCAGCCTTTCTTCGAAAGACTCGAGTCTTTCAATTTTTCAGTTTTATTCATTCATTCTCTCTGTGAGAGACTCGAGTCTCTGAATTAACAATTTTATCATTCAAGTCACTCATATAGAGACTGCGAGATATCCATAAGACTGTGAGAGACGCTGAAAGACCCTGAGAGACTGAAAATATTCGTCTAGGGGTTATATCTGGTGAAACCGGAAGTAGAACAAACAGCTAAGTTTAAGACACAAAATCTCCTTTTATATTAAATATTTGCAGACCAAATTTCACATTTTTATCTCAAAAAATATACGAAAGGTTTATATTGGGGTTGATCTACATTTTCTGATTACTCAGTATAGTATAGTATATAAAAAAAAGTGAAATAGTTGAATTTTTCGCTACAACAAAACATAGTCAAGGAACACTGTATATCCTTTTTGACAATACTAATGTCAATGTCGCTTTCATTCAAATAAATAAAAAAACACTTTTGTAATAAAAATAAAAATAAGCAAGTTATTAAAAATCAGATTCGTTTAGGTACAACATTTTACTCAATGTACATCTACTGAAATATTGTGGTACATATTACACTGTTAGTTTCGCCCCATAACTTTATTTTGAACATTTTTTATATCACTATCACTTCAAATTTTATAAAACGACGCACTTTTTGATTAAAAATCATTGTAACCTTTTAAAAAATAATTAACACAAAAAAAACTTACAGTAACATAGCAACAAAAGAGGAGCATAGGGTACTCGATGCACTTTGTGAAACGGATTAGAAAAAACGTGAAATAGAATTTAAAAAGATCGCTCATATTATCTGAAAAAAATGAAATTGCAACCTGCTATTTGGCATTAACAAATGTTGCCAATGATTGAAAGCGTTTATTTACTTTTCCTCTTCGCTTGTAATTACTATTCGTATTATAGGTAATCTAATCTTATCGATCTTTTGACATAAGAAACACTTATAGAATTAGTTACAGGTACCTATCTATAGTTGGGACGAACAAAATTGGCAAGTCCGCAATAAATTATCTGTGCGAATGGACATGTATTGTCTTTCTTGTTTCCATTTAGGACTATAGTTATTTGCTGCGTTTCGAGCACACCCTTGTTATACTTCATTTACTTTCTCTAGCGATGTGCCCCTTCCAATGTCTTGGATGCCCGCTGGCAAAATCGTAGGTAGGGAGAAAAAAGCTCATTATACTCTCGACTCTTGTTCATTAAACATACTTTTTCATACAGTACCTGCCAAAAGTTTTGTTCAATCATGAATAGTAGTGCGAGTTGAAAACAAGCGTTAAAGCCTTTAATATGCCTTCAAATATAAACAAACATGATATTTTCAATAGTAAATGGTACCAATAACAGCACATTTGAGCAATGCAATTAAAGTAGATAAAATGGTCAGTTTTTCCGTGCAGTACTGCACGGAATATACGCTCCTCACCTGTTGAGAGTTTGATCGAGAATTGTCTCCTTTCTTTTCTAGCCTAGTGCTGTTCTTTTATACTTTGCGTCGGTCAAACTGAAGGTCACATCGCTACAGAAACTAAACGAACAGGCAAAATGAAAAGAGATAACCAAATAATAGTAAGCGGTGTAGCGGTTAGACGTTGCTTTAGTACAAAAATTACATTTTTAAACAAGTATCTTTGCTTTCCTAAATTCCTGAAAATGTTGAATATTTTGTAAAGTCCGATGCTGGTAACATCTTCAAATACTGCTTGTCTGCATCTCTTTCTGTTACACATCAATTGGTGAATGTCATTCCTTTTTCTTTATAAGTGTCCGCTACAATTCCTCTCTGACATCTCTTTTCTATGCAAACGATATTCAATATAACGTCTGCCGTGAGTAAAAGTAGGCGTTCTGTCAGCAACTACTCTAGTCTAATTAGTACGTTGAAGTACTGCGGAGTATGCCAATTTTGAACACTCGAACCATATTCGACTGGTTTCGTTTACCACCGTCCACATTTCGCTCCAAACATATTATCTATCCCACTACTAAAGAACTAAAAGATATTGATCTATCAACGAACTTCATGTACACTGTCCTTTCTAAAATCGATTAACAAAAATAAAGACAGACATAAAAGATAACAGTGACCTAATAAATGAAATAGATTGAAAAAGGATAGCGCTATGCGCTACCAATCGCTGCTAAACCGAATAGGGATATTACTAGTAACTAAGAGTGTATGAATCAACACTTGTTCTTTTTTGCACCTGCAATGACGTAACTTCATTCTTTCCTGGGATGGATAATACCCTTTCGGTAACCAAAAACACCAATGTATGTTCATCCTTAAAGCTGTCCTGTCTTTTATTTTGTAAAATTGAAAACGGTAAAAAGCGCCTATTAAGGGATAATGCCGCTAGATAGTAAAATCTAGAAAACTAATTTCAAAAAACTACTAATGCATTTTGCATACTGCATATTTCATTATTAAAGAAAAACTGCAACTGTTCTACATAAGAAATGGTCAGTATTCCTAGAGTCCTAACGATTTATTATTAGGATGAAACGTCAGTAAAATCACTATGGAAATCCATAATTCTGTTTTACCGAAATACGTATCAGCTTTTATTTAGTTATTTATAGTCTAAATACCATTTACGGAAAAATCCTTCATTCCTTCATATAACAATCATAATAAACAAATATTTTCATGAGACCTTGGAATTGAAAACTTGCAATGTACGATAAAAATATAAAACAATGAAAGATAAAAATTAGCGATATGCATGTAGAAACTGAACAGTTAAAATATGTAATGAATCATTTTCGACTGTTTTACTTATGCCTTACTTATAAACTGAACTGAACTTACTGATAAAAAAAATCGAATTTTTTAAAGCTTACGTTATCCAAAAAAAAAACAATATGCAGTAATGAAGATTGCTTATTGTACAGTTGCTAATACAGTCTCAAATGAAAGGATTCTATCCGAAACGCTCTAATGATCTCCTTGATATGTAAATTCCGTCCGGAGGTTCTTTTATTACCATAAATAAATTCCGCATAAACATATCTGCACTTATAAACAAAAGAACATGATCACAACATCAGAAACTTCGTTCGTGTTACCCTTTCCTACCGCAATCTGGGTCTCTGCTCCATTACTAAGCTACTACTAATCAAAGCGGTAGGGATTCGGGTTCAATTCTCGGCAAGGACGTGATAATGCAAAATTTTTCCTCATTAATTTGACTGTAGATAACCAGTGGTAAAAATTGATTTAAAAATTAATTCACTTTAAAGTCCTTATAAAGTTTGCAGTAATGAAATAAATACATAGACATAGACATACATATTGTTTTTAAATTATCAAAACGAGATATGTATTCTATTTCTCCTTTTTAGTTTCGTTACGTTTATGTACTTTTGTTAATAATTTATAATAGGGTTAACTTATGCAATTATGTTTGGTTTGATCCTTCCAAACGAACTTCCCATAGAATATCAGCGTTTTATTGAAAAATTTGTAGCAGAAATGGTAAGTAAAAAATAAATATAAATAATGACTTACCCCATCCTTTGCTATTTTGTAGGGTAGGTCGACTGCAACCTGTAACAAAAAATTACATTTAGTCCAAAAAGAAACTTGTAACCACGACGTTTTCGGCGTATGAACGAACCATTTTTTACATACTCTCAATTTTGAGGCGATGTATTACGAATAAACTATAAAATAATTTAAAGGTTTGCTATGTTTTAATTTTAATTACATGTATAACTAATTAGTGACAATAGAAAAAAACAAATCATTCTGTTAATTCTTTAGTCGGAGGTTTACTGCAATATTAAACACTTAATTGCGTCATATTTACTTTGTATTCGCAGTGACAAACTGCATAACTATAAATATGTCCTTTTAATTAAGCGTTTAATAGTTTGTAAAGGTGCATAATGGAATGCGGTCGACATCCGATTAAAGGAATGAAACATTTCATGATTTACGAGCTTTTCGGTTGGTCAATGCGCGTTCGTCGCTGGACGAAACTGGGATGAGTAAAATGTAACAACTGAGCAAATGTTTCAGTTTGCTCAAGCCCTGCAGCGTCATATAGTGACATATTGTACACTGTTAGAAATAAAGTTGAAATTACTATGTGAATCACCCTGAGCCCATCATTGATTTGAAGTATTTACTGACTTTCTTCCGTATCAAATGTCCACTTTTTCATAACTGAATCGATTTATTCATTTTAATTTAAGAGAGGAAAGGCTTTTCATCTACTATTGAGTAACTCAAGACCTTTAACAGACAAGCAACATGTTTATTAGAGATATGGAAAATGGTTCTTTAAAAGTATTTAAATACAAAATGCAAATACTTTTTTGATTTGTCATATCGTCATCATCATAAGGTCGTCAGTCTTAAGACTGGTTGGATACGTACCTCTACTCTTTCCTATCCTGAGCTAATCGCATTTCCCTAAAACTAGAACATCCCACATCCTTAACTATTTACGACCAGTAATCTAACCTAGGTCTACCTCTATCCTTCCTAACTCCTGTTTCTGCATCTAATATGTCTCTGACTAGACCTTTATGCCTGAAATGGTATCCTACCAACCTATTTAGCTTATTTTTTATTGACTTCCATGGAGTCCTCTGTTCTCCTATTCTTTCTGATACCTCTTCATTTCTAACATTTTCTACCCACGTTATCCTCATCGTTTGACTATAATAGCATATTTCGAAGGCTTCTAACATTTTCTTTTTCGCCGCGCCCACTGTCCATGTTTCGCACCCGTACACCCTTGAACAACCTTTTTCGAATTTCTAAATTAACCGTTCGCGAGCATAGAAGTTACTTCTTTTTATTGAAAGCGACTCGACCCTGCGCTATCCTCTGCTTTATATACCTACTACTCCTTCCGTCCTGACTTATCTGACTTCCTGGATTTCTAAAATCAGCCACTTCTTCCAATTTTTCGTCTCCTATCTTTATATTCGCTCTTTCGCTACTTTTTCTTCTTGTGATACCAATCGATATTATTTTACGAGCTGTTTTGTCGTAATTCATAGAATTTCGTAGTTTCTTTCTCTAGGTACGATAAGTGGTGATTTGGCAGGTGCTGATATCAATTTGGAACTTCAAAATTCCATGGACCATAACATTGAACCCGGAAAACAATATCCATCCAGTGTTTTAGATTATCCGTTTCCAAGGAGTTTAGAACTTTTTGGGCTCTCTTCAGTTAAAGAATTAGAAGGCAATCATGGAATGTCACTTTATCCCTTTTTTAAGCTTCGAATATATTTAATGGCTAATGTGAGCAACTTTTATTCATTATTTCATATAATGTTTGATCAGTGATACTAGTAAAATGTATTTTGCATTTTACAAATAGAAAATACGTTTGGTAAAGTATTTTAAATAAGATACAAAATGTTTTTCTCAAAAAGTATTTAAATGTAATATCAAAATAGGTATTTTTTTAAATGCAGGTATTTCAAATAAATCACATCTCGGATATTTATGCACTAAGCCAAAAACCGCCTTTCTTAACGATATGAGTAGAAAATTGTTATACTCAGGGTGTTAAGGATTATAGTCACACATGTCTGTATATTATACCCTGTATATTTTCTATGAACGAGTTTGTGAGGTAACCCTGAGTGGGGTGATTGGGATATACAAGGTTCATCGATTTTTGTATGCCATCTTGGCGGTGGTTTTTTACCTGTGCAACACGCATCGTGTTGGCATTCTTTTCGAGACACACATACAGTCCACAACGCACTTCACTCATTTTATTAACAATAAAGAGTTAAACCAGACAAAATAGATTTTTACTAGTGCCTATACAACTCAAATTATACACAGGGTAAGAATTTAGGATTTTATGCTGGTCTAAGTAAATTTAACACCTCTTCCCCTTTTTGCATAATTCGAAACTCGAGGGACTCTTAATTCGAATTAAAGCGTCGTTTGTTACGTAGCAATGATTTTTTCGTTCGAATTACCGAGTGCATAAAAATGTATTGATTTAGTTCGAAATATAAAGAGATTTCGTAGGGAACTCGTGATAACTTTGAATTATAGAAAGGTTAGAATTATCGCAGGTTTGAATTAACGAGAGTCGACTGTAATATGATCGAAAACTTAACGGTTTCGTTTGTTTTACATCAATGTTTCGCTTGTCGTCCCACACACCGAGGATATACTTATCTGCAAAGTAACTAGCCCACATCGCCTTATACAAATCTGTTATGTCCTTATAGGCGGAAAGAACATGTTGGATAAATCTACGAAAATGTGTATGTATCCCTACTCTCGAACTAGCTTCTCCAGGAACAATATTTATTTGATAAGAGTGATTTGCGAACCGGTATTGCCAGTAATATACGCTAATGGACTTCATATGCATAGAGACAACGGTGGGTGTGTAAATAGCGCGATAAGGAAAATGAAAATAATAAGAAGCCGTTGCTCTAACGATAAGTCTATAAATGGAAAATGCTAAACAATAGAATGATGCAAAAATGAATATTTATCGCATGCGGGATTATACGTACAATTATTCACAGCTGCAATCAACTTTCAGGATCTAAGACATTACGTATGAACATATGCACGCACTGTAATAAAAGTCACACATTTCATTTTACAGTATACAAATATTAAATTATATTGCATGGAACCATCAAAGTGCCTCATCACCTTTTGAAAAATACGCAGTGGTTTAGAAGGATTTGCATTTGATTAGCCATCATTTCATACAAACAATGAAGTAATGTAAGTGTGGTACATGCAATTCAAAGGTTTATAGAAAAAATTTTGAGAATTCGATTAGTTTAGGACACTCTTCAGAGAAGCGCATGATATTTTTTTTAGTTAAATGTGATACACCAAGTTATATATCTTCGCTCATCATCATTATCGGTACTGTATGAAAATAAATAAAAGTAAAACAAAAATACAAGTATACAAGGAAAGAAAAAGTAGGGAAAGAGGAATATAGGAGACGAAAAATTAGAACAAGTGGCCGATTTTAGGTATCTAGGAAGTCAGATAAGTCAGGACGGAAGGAGTAGTAGGTATATAAAGCAGAGGATTGCGCAGGCTCGAGTCGCCTTCAATAAAAAAAAGTCACTTTTATGCTCGCGAAAGGTTAATTTAGAAATTCGAAAAAGATTGTTAAGGGTGTACGTTTAGAGCACGACGCTGTACGGGTGCGAAACATGGATGGTGGGCGCGGCGGAAAATAAAAGGTTAGAAGCGTTCGAAATGTGGTGTTATAGGCGGATGATGAGGATATCGTGGGTAGAAAAGGTTAGAAATGAAGAGGTATTAGAAAGAATAGGAGAACAGAGGACTCTATGGAAGTCAATAAAAAATAGGCGAGATAGGTTGGTAGGACACCTTCTCAGGCATGAAGGTCTAGTCAGAGACATATTAGAGGCAGAAACAGGAGTTAGGAGGGGTAGAGGTAGACCTAGATTAGATTACTGTTCGCAAATAGTTAAGGATGTGGGCTGTTCTAGTTTTAGGGAAATGCGAAGTTTAGCTCAGGATAGGAAAGAGTGGAGGTACGTGTCCAACCAATCTATTGTATCATGTATTTTGCACAATTTTCTGAATTTTACTTATCACGAACAAAAAGCTGATAAGAAATAATGATGTATAAAACCTATTACCGCAGGAACAGCATTAATAATAAAATTAAATTAAAATACAAACACAATTTATGAGCCAGAAAGGGAATTAACCTTGTCCAGATGTTTGAAAAGTCACATTAACTAATTGTTTAAATATTTTATTCGGCTAATGCCTGGGATCTACTATTAAACATAATTTGTCTAAAAATCATGGTCACCCGCACACATTAACATTTCTACACTAATTTAAATGTTAATTAATCTTCCAGTTGATTAATTAATTAAAATCAGACGTAAATGTATGTTATGTATGTAGTGTAATACTGCATATCCCTTTTTAAGCTTCTACTTATTACCGAAGTATTAATTAAGTTTTCAAATATGAGTATTTCGTCTTAAATAGGTACGAATTAGAAGTATTAAATGTTATAAAAAGAAGAGAAGAGGTGGAAGTTAACGTAAGTAACTTTGACCCAAAGGATAATGGAACTATCAAGAATAAATGTAAATTCGGCCGGTTTGCGTTCATCTTCTTCCCCGAATGTCCGACCTACCTCAAAACTAAGCGCCACCAAGACTTTAAGGGATGATTTTATATAAGCTTTATCCCGAAAATAACATCTAATGGAAAAAGCATCGTCGCAGGCATCGTTAGTATAGACATGAGCGATATTTTGCTTCTGTTAGAGTTTGTGAGAAATTGGTGTACATTCAATCTTTATAGACGTTGTTAATAGCTATTATAATATAGATATATATTGTAGTATACAAAAAAAACAAGAAAGAATTTCACTGAATAAGGGATAATAAGAACGGTCTGTTACGCCCGTTATTTAGGGGAGGGGGTGTAGGTCGAAAACTGGTGTATTTTGCGTTATGTAACAATTGTTTCGCTGCAGTACAGTTTCTTCAGTATAGGAGATAACCTTTTAACTGGCGTGTGGATGACCCCAAAGT